GAAATCATTCTAATATGCTAAATTGATGCTCAAGAAACATTTCTTCTTATTATAAGTAATGAAAACAGTTGTGTTGCTTAATATTTTTGTGGATACATGTTTTGTGCTTCTTTGATAAATAGAAAGTTTAAAAAAGAACAGCTTTGAAATATATAAATATATTTTTCTATTTGTAATATAAATATTTTGTAACATTATAAACGTCTTTACCTCACTTTTAATCAATGCATCCTTGCTAAATAAAAGTATTAATTTATTTCAAACAAAAAAACGTAATATATATATATATATATAAACAAATGGGTACATTATATACATTAATTAAAATGAGTTTTGTTATTTCTAATTATTTACACATGTATATGATGTCATTATACCCAGAATTGTCGGTTTAATAAGGTTCCAAATAAACATATTTTATTCTGCTTGTCTGCACAAGCCCTGCTCAGTGTAAACACTGCATAGGGACCCTGTGAATCAGAACGCAGCTCTTTTTTCTCTTTCTCCCTGTCTTCTCTCAGCATGACAGGTAGAGGTTTGTAATTGTATTTAAAGCTCGCATTTGACTCAAGCCCCTGGTGGTGAAGAAGTCATCCATCAGTTTCAGCATCTATTTCAGCCCTGCTCTCAATTACAACCAGCACGAAAATAAACAGAATAAGAGATGAGGAGAATAAGACTGACCCATGCAGAGCTTTGGCTTGCCTGCCTTCCTTTTCAGATCTCTTTGTGAGACACACTTCCTCCAGAATTCTTGCTGGGACCCAGATCAGCGGCGCTTCAACAGAAATCCTGTCCTGAAGCATCTGTCTGATGATGAAAAGCCAAATACACAGCTTTGGATCGCTGTTATGGCTGCCCTGTCTCATTTTTCGAAGCAAAGCTGAGCCGGATGTATCAGCATGGAGTTTGTTGGATAATGATATGATGGTATTTCTGCGCATTTTTTTGACTAATTTAAATGAACACTCGTTTCTGAAAAGTCAGCATGAATCCCGGTTCACAATATGTCACAATATTCAACAAGAAAAGTGGGATTTTTTCCCCCCATTCCATATCTTTAGTTGCAAAACTTTTTTTTTTTCTGAGGTTATTTTTAAGACCGTAAGCTGCGTCCATTTTGGTTTCATGTTGACTTTTCAATAATAAAAACAATTATTTGCATTCATTCACTTATTACAGGCATTCAGGGTGTAAATGACAGAGAAATGTTGTTGTATCTTTGTGACGGTCGTCTCACTGGGTGGCAGAAGCCATTAACGGTGTCAAATCAAATTTCCACTCAATTTAAGTGATATCAAATTACTCTTGAATTGCCATGGCGATGCTTGTATAATCGCCGGTGAATTTACTGTTCATTAGCATGTCTTATGTCGTAAGTGGCGGCATAATCGATGTTGAGCAATCGTAGCCATTACCCAAAGAGCGACTGTACTGAAGCCAAGGCCTCGGCTTCTTTTTCGGTTTCTGTTTGTTTCGCACTTCTCATTAAATTCCTCTGTAAGACCCCACCCTTACAGTACCTCTGTTGGTGCCTGTGTCTGAGCTGCGCAAATCAATTTTACTGTGCTGATGATTGTAATGTGGATGCCAGCGGCTGAGACGGAGCACAATTGCAACAGCAAATGACTGCTGCCAGTTGGCTGCAGTATGAGTGTTTGTGTGTGTCAGTGTTTTTTCCCCTCAATTTGTTCTTATTGCCTGTACACTCCCCTGAGGTACTTGTGTCGACGGTTGCTCTATTTTTGCAGGATGAATGTTTGTACAGTTCAAGGGGCAGCTCTCTGCGAAATGTTAGATTTTAAAATTATTGCTTTTTTATTTTTAACCTCACGTTTAGGTAAGCGGCTGAGGGCCGCATCCTGTGCCTCACCCTGAAGAGCTGTTTTGTTAAATCGCTCAATTGCACCTTGAAACACGTCATTCAAAACCTTCAATCCACACGCCATATTTTGAGATCATGCGCAAAGCATTTCAACAGCCATTTTTACCTGTTCACCTTTGAGTAACTACGCCTATCAGTGCCACTCATGTGAAATCCTTTGCCCCTGCCTTGTATGTGTATTTACGTAATATTTTGCTTCATTTGATGTGGTTTCTGAGAACAGTTTAGAACTCGGAGTGCCACTGAACACATTTGGCCGCATTTAAATGCATTTCACGGAATTAACTTCTTAGACTAACTTAATTAACTTCTAATACTTCTTAGACCGTTCACTAACATGAACCAAGCAGGTGTAAGCTTGAGGCGATGTATTAGCAACAGTCAAATGAAAATAAAATAGTATCCACCTTTATTTTCAGCTGAAATTCATGTTATATTAAGATACTTTTAGAGACAATTAGAAATTAGTTAGAAAATAGTATCCAATTTTATTTTAGCTGAAATGCATGTTATATAAAGATAATATTAGAGAAAATTAGAAATTGGTTAGAAAATATTATCCAATTTTATTTTCAGCTGAAATGCATGTGTTATATAAAGATAATTTTAGAGAAAGTTGGAAATTGGTTAGAAAATAGTATCTAATTTTATTTTCAGCTGAAATGCATGTGTTATATTAAGATAATTTTTTGAGAAAATTTGAAATTGGTTAATAAATAGTATCTAATTTTATTTTCAGCTGAAATGCATGTGTTATGTAAAGATAATTTTAGAGAAAATTTGAATGTGGTTAAAAGGATGATTTAAATTGGAAGACCAAAGAACAGAAAATGATGAGCTGGACTTTATGTAATGATCATGATTGTTTAAGTGCATAACACATTAAATTCTAAGCACAAAAAAAAAGTATTATTATTAGGTAATAATATTTTATGTATGTATTAATTTACTCATGCATTCATTCATTTTGTAATATATTATATTACTTTTAAAGAAATTTTTTTTTTAGTATAGACGGGAAAATTAAGTAGATTAAGTCTAAAATAAAGTCTAAAATAATTGCTGCAACTGGGTATAATGTTAGAAACAAGAGCAGAAAATCATGAGCTGGCTCTGTAACAATTTATTAAAATACATAAATTAAATTAATAGCAAAAATATTATTATTATGTAATATTTTATATATAATTTTTTTATATGCTGTTAAAACAATCTTTATTTCAGAGGTGCAGGGAAAAATTAAGTCGCTGGAGTGACTGTGAAATGTGAAAGGGAAAAAACACAGAAAACAACAAATTCTTCCAGTGTTGACAACTGTATTGATTATAATGGGTGTGAATAATTTAGTAAGTAATAATGTGTTGCATCTGGTGCAAGTTACCTATAGATTACCTACAGATAACTTTTCAGTTATGCTAAATTACTTTTCCTCAAGTGTGAAAGCAAGGTGTAAAAATAAAATGTAAATGTGTTAAAAAAAGTTAATGTAAAGTGTCAAAATATAAAAAGGGAATTTGCTGTGTACCATTTAAAATATTGTCTGAAGTCTAAAATCCTGACTCTTTCAAGTGCAGTCCCTCAAGCACACAAAGATTAAACAAAATCTGTATTCTGACCATCCTTTTCTTTCCTCTCGGGCAGGTCTTTCGCAGTGGAGAGGGCATGGGTATCAGGCTGGACAGCGCATCTGCTTTCCAGGGTGCTGTCATCTCCCCTCATTACGATTCCCTCCTGGTGAAAGTCATCGCCAGTGGAAAGGATCTACCGGTGGCCTCTGCCAAAATGAGCCGAGCTTTAGCAGAGTTCCGTGTCCGGGGGGTCAAGGTAAGGCTTTTCTCGACAACAGTGCTTGCATAAACGATCAGGGGCAGCCATGAGTGCGATCAGTGGAGACCTTTGGATATCAGTTGCACCTTGGTGCTGTGGTGTCAAAAATAATCTGAAATAGTGTGTGTCATTATTATAGTGTGTTGGTCAAATAGATTTTTTTAGAGCAAATGTCATGCCTTCAGTCAATTCCTTTAGATAAAATTAAGTTATGAAACTTACCAGCTTAGCTCATGAATATTAATGATAAAATCATCTAATTAATATTCAGTAGGCTCAGTAGTTCCATGTTCTCACCCTCATATAATGCCAGCTAAGATCCTGGTCAGAGCGCATAATGCCGAAAATGATAACTTTCTCTGGAAAGGCAAGCGTGACAGGAGCACAGGAAGCCTGACATGACAAACTGAGACAGAGTAAGTGATCAGACGAGAAGTGGTTTATTTCCGTGATAGAACCTGTGGATTCCCTTTCCCCTGTTAAATGTGCTGTTCTTTTGAAACACGTCTGAGCAGCAGACACTTCACGGTTTTGTCACCCATCATGCTGCCTGCCATCTGAGGCTCTGATCAGATCTTGAGTGAGCTGGAGCTAAAAACATTTCCAGTTTGAAGATCTTGAGTTTTATCCCCCCTCTTTTTTTAATCTCCCACTCATAAACCTGAACACACTAGATGAGTCACATTAGACCATGCACGTATAATATGATATAATATTTATCAGCATAATGTGATCAGAGTTGAAGTAATGGCACTAATGGCGCTCTCGGATAAAGGGTGCAGACCTCACCATTTTCTGAGGACGGGAGGAGTGTAGAAGAGAGAAGTTGTCGTCATGGAGTGTTTGCACTTAATCAGGCAGAATAAAATAAATGTGTTTACATAAACCATTAGGGATGGAGCTTTTCCTGTAAGCATCTCAGAAATTAGTTTTGGAGACTATGAAGAGAATCTGTCTT